ATACTATTTTGGGGGGCTCCTTGAAATAATATTACTATAAAAGGAGCCCAAAAACCCTGTTCTGATTATTGAGGCCCCTACGGTAAGTCGAGTGGCCGGGGAAAAATGGGACCTTGCCCTGAGGTGATCATTGCGCAGTTGGTCTCCGACCACTGCAGCCCTTGGGAATGCAAGCTTCAAGCTACATGTATGTATGTGTGTATGTATGTAGATATATATATATATATATATACATGTTTGTGTGTGAAGAGTTTCTTTTCGAACTGCAGGCCAGGCCAGCACCCCTGGCTTGTGTGTTTCTGTTTACATACGCATGTATAGGGCTTAGGTTTTATAGGGTTTATGAGCATCCCAAAGGGCCTTAGTTTCCTGTAAGGGATCTATAGGGGGGGAAAATCATAATCGTATTTGCTAATATTGAAACCTTCATTCGACCATATAGGCAGGGCTGTTTGGGGTAGGTCGGTACATACATACGAAAGACGGAGGGAGATGTGTAGAGATCGAACCCCGAGCTATGCACCAGATCTTCGGTGAATGCAAAAATCATAAATTGCAATACGTAGCATTGCCTTGCGCTGCACTGCACCGAAATTATACTGCATTGCATGCTTACATGCATGCCTACATACCCGACTCATCCCTGGCCCTACGTAGCCGGAGGGAGTTCGAAAGTCTTTCTTTCACCTGGACTTGGTGGCACTCCTTTAGTTTCTCTTTGTGCAGCTCTGCTATGCCGCGCTGATACCCAGGGAACCTAGCACGAATCATTCAATACTGCCTGAACGCTGGAACCATATCAAGCAATCCGATCCCTATAGGGCTCCAACTATACACATAATACCCACTTTGACCTGGGTTGGATACCCAGCGATCAATTACCGACTAGGGGCTTCTTGAATTAGTTCATGTGTCCTGCTAAATGTATCGTAGGTCTCCATCTTCAAATTCCAGCATACCCCTGAACTGTATACACTTTAAACTGAAAACCCGACCTAAGGGTATCATCTTTCTCCGGAAGATCCAGAACACCTTCGCTGCGCCGTGAGCTTGGGCATGTGACCTGGCGTGAACAGCAGGGCTGCCAGAGTTCCGGAAACCTTACCCTACAGGTCCATGTACTCAACTAGCATATACTTTGGCCTTAATGTAGTTCGTCCTGTGTATGAGTACTTTGGGGCCATAGTATATACTATTTGGGTATAGCCCTGAACCAAGATCCAAGAAATTTGCAGAACCCGAAACCCTAGGACCCCCACCTCCAAGCCATCACTCGGGACTATAGGAGCAAGACACAAGCAGACAATTTCCATAAACCTTATACCCTATACCTGGACCCGAAAAGTATGCATCTGGGTCATTATTTTTGCCTCCTGATGAGCCTAAACGGGGGAAACCTTAGATAGCATCTGAGGTGGGACGGCGTGCCCGAGAGTGCCCTGGGAGCGCAAGGATTAGCATCTAGAGTTGGAAGGGTTCCTTGAAGGGTTCCTACCATGCTTCCATACGCTTCCTATAAGGGTTTAGAAGGGCTTTGTAGGATATATGGTTCGGCATCTGTGGCTTTAGGGTTTCACTATAGATTCGGGCTTTGGTTTTTCGGTCTCAGCCGCTCATTCAAGCTACTTTCCGGTTTCCATTTATGCTGAAAGAGCTCCCACCCCACTGCCCTTTCCATGCGTGATGCTCACTCCTGAACATCATCATTGAACCATCACCCCTAAACTCTAAATCCTAAAACCCTAAACCCTAAATCCTAAAACTCTAAACCCTACCTGCTTGTTTGCGCCACGCTAATGCGAGACGGGTTGAACCTCGACCACATCCCTCCCTCCCGAAGGGCACAAAGTACCTATATAGTGGGAAGTAGGGCTTCTTTATATGGGGTATACTTTCACGGTTCGAACCTAAGCCCCTACATCCTAAACTCTGTGGTCTGGAGGGTTTAGGGGTTCAGGGGTTTAGGGGCCCCAATCATAGTAAGGTTTCCTGATATATTAGGAAACCTCATCATGATTGGGAAAAGTATACCCCATAAGGTTTCCTAGTACATTAGGAAACCTCAACCCTAAACCCTATACCCTAAACCCTAAACCGTGCCTTATCATGAAACCTTAACCCTAAACCCTATACCCTAAACCCTAAACCGTGCCTTATCATGGTTGGGGAAAGTATACTTGGAGGATCCTGGGACTTAGTAGCTAGGGTTATAAATAAGGTAACAAAAATTATAACCCCAATTAGGGTACTTATTAAGTCCCATGATCCTTTAAGTACCTTTTTTGGGACCTGTTCCTTCAGGGAACCATTATTATAACATAACAGTCTATACTTGTTCTCCTTGGTTACTTCAAAGCCCAGGGAAAGCATACCCCATAAATTATAACCCCAATTAGGGTACTTATAACCTTACTTACTAAGTCCCATGATCCTTTTAGTACCCCATAACAGTACTAAGCCCTAAACCCTAAACCCTAAACCCTAAACCCTAAACCCTAAACCCTAAACCCCAAACCGCCCCATAGCGGTACTTGGGACCCTTTGGGTTTGCATCCCGGAGGATCCCTGAGGTTCAAGGAGCTGTCGTCACGGGGCCACAGCTGTTTTTCCAGAGGGTCCCAGGCACGGTTGTGGGGTTTAGGGTTTAGGGTTTAGGGTTTAGGGTTTACTTTCCGAGATCATGATAACCCTTGGGCTCCAAATAGCCCAAAGTCGGTATTATTTATAGGCTTTTCAATCCAAAGTAGACACTATTTGTATACTTGGAGCCCTAGGGTACGGATTGATCCTAGAGAACCCTATATGCAACTGTATACCTACTTTGGAGCCTCTGAGTTCGTAAGAGGATGCCGCTCTCAGCCCGCCATGGACGCGCCGTGCCGAGGTTTGGGATCCACTTGAAGCAATGCCTCTAGGGTTTAGGGTTTAGGGTTTAGGGTTTAGGGTGTTGATTGCCCATAGGCCCCTTAGTAGTTCCTTTTTTGGGGGTTCATATTTAGAATCCTACAAGGTAACCCCAAAAAGGAGCTATTATGGGGCCTATGGGTATACACGGTGCAGGTCTGGAGATGACTTTGCCCGTAGAAGCTGGTCGCCACGGCGGTCAACATCAGACAGTGATTGGAAGGTGATTTAGGGTTTACCTATAGTCTCCATTGTAGTTCCTTTTTGGGGATGCCTTATAGAATCCTTAATATAAAATTAGTTAAACCAAAAAAGGAACTACAATGGAGACTGCAGGTAGGGTTTAGGGTTTAGGGTTTAGGGAGTTTCAGTGAGGAGATCACACCTTCGCCAAGAGGCGTGCCACTGTTCGTATTGGACATGTGCAGCACCTTGCCGCTGGAGAACCAGTCAATCCGCTGTTATTCCTTGGTACTCTTGAGAAGTTAGATCTTGGAGTACTACGCAGGTTGAAGTGCAGGGGTTCGAGTTAATCGATGGATAAAGCCCGAAGGAAGCAGGTTCCGAGGCCGAAACCTTCATTTCCAATATAGACCTCCGCCGGCAAGCCGCAAAATGTTGGATTCGCCCGGGTAGCGCTATACCATACATTCCTTGTCTCAGCCGAATGCACCCTGCGAAGCCTTTCAAGGCATGCAGGAAGTCTTGCGAATCTGTTTGTCAATACTTAGGACGAGCTTTCAGAGCCTAGTTGGATCCTGAAGCTTTGGATTTACTCGCGCAGTCATAAACCCAGAGTGATTTTGAGCATAAAAACATTCGTGTTCTTTAAGTCTTTATTTGCTTGAACCAAACTCCAACCCACCGCTTTCCCCAACTGCAGAATCTCGTTTCCCGTTTCTTTTGCCCAGACACTTTGCATTATAAAACCGTGAGGTTTGCTGAACTAAGAGGCTTTGACTTTCTCTTGGTCGAAACGTCGAGCCCAAAGCGAGAGAGACATGTTCAGCTACAGAACGCAAGTATGATAACGTGGTCCTGAGCCCTTATCCTTCAATTCCAGGTATGATGACGCTGTTCCATTCCATCACCGGAGGCCTCAGCTGGGCGACTTGGCCACGAAAAGCAATGAGAAGAGGGGGGTGGTTAACAATACAGAAAGAGAGTTTAGGGTTTAGAGGCACCCTAGAAAGGATAAAGACTGACGTTCTCGGTATGATGCTGTCCTTTCATTCAGTTCGTACATGGTCTGCTGATTGTTCATTATTGAGGCTGTGGGATTCATTCCCGAGCACCGAGTGCCATGCAGGGCATCATTGTGAAGGTGGCAACCAGGGCGCAACAAAACAATCCGAAAAAATGCTGTTCCTATAGGGTCATACCCTACCCCTTTTTTAGGGTACCTACTTTTTTATATAACAAACCCTAACCATAAACCTAGGTACGGTAAAAAAGGGGTAGGGCATGACCCTCCAGGTTTGTTGTCCCGAAGCAAAAATCCCAAGTCTTTCCTTCCATCACTCCCAGAATCAATTCAATTTTTGGGGCAAGGTTAACAAGTGCAGACGAGACAAGTGGCAAATTTCCTCTGGATTTCCACCAGATGCCTGGCTTCAGGGTTTCGGATATTTTTCGGATATTTTTGATGTCGAAGTCGCCAAACTTCCGTAAGGTCGAGGCATTCACTCCCTTGCGGGAGATCTCGAGCCTGGCCGCGGCATTTATGTACGTGCGACTTGGCCACAAATGCCACAAAGTCTGTGCCCTGAGCAACATTCAATTCGACTTCGGGTGGCGAGGAGAATTTGACCATGATCGGGTTCAGCTTCTTCTGCTACTATTTGCCGCTGCTGCACACGTAGTCGTGAGTCGATTCAGGTTCGCGGTGTTTCTCGTGTGTGTTTTTGTTTATGAACCCCTTCGTGTGCAAGATCGGCAATGTGCGCAGCTTAGCCTTGAGTTTAGGGTTTAGGGTTTTGGGGCTTTGGGGTTTAGGGTTTAGGGTTTAGGGTTTAGGGGTTTGAGGTTTAGGGTAAATCTGCATATTTTGGGCACCCATTCTGCTGACGCGCAGACCGAATGCATGTCAAGGTTGATTCAATATTCTCGGAGTGACAACGGTTCTGCAAATCATAGTTCTTGAAGCCGATCCCGATCTGGTGGTTCAACAAAAAATTTTCGTGCACCGCAGGTACATCGTGATGACGGTTTTTGCGGTTCTTAATGTCGTCACCGGCGTGACTCGGCATGCACTTGGGCCATCTGGAGCTGCTTGCAATTAGCCTGGCGGCACTCATTCAAGCTGCAGGTTTGTTCTGTTGCATGTTGCAACGATGTCTATAGTAATTAGACGTCAGACCTATAGCAACTACTAGAATTCGGAGTATTCGCAAAGATCGCCAGAAGATGACTACTAGTAAAAACGCAACTTTTGAAAATAGTCCTGGTCATCATACTAGTGGTGGACTGGTAAAAGTAGCACTCTCAGTCACAGCAGAGTTAGCAGCAGCAGTAGCAGTAGCAGTAGCAGTAGCAGTAGCAGTAGCAGTCGCAGTCGCAGTCGCAGTCGCAGTCGCAGTCGCAGTCGCAGTGGCAGTAGCAGTAGCAGTAGCAGCAAAAGTAGTAGTAGTAGTAGTA